AAGTAGTAACAGCGGAAAAAGTAATAGCACAACCACTCTGACCGGAACAACTACCACAACGACAACAACAACAACTACCACCACGACAACAACAACAACGACAACAACCACTACTACTACTAGTACGACTACTACGTCAACAACGTCAACATCGACTACGTCGACAACAACTACTACTGCTACCACAACTACTAGCACTAGCACTACTTCAACAACAGCAACGACAACAACATCAACAACAGCAACCACAACAACATCAACAACAACAACAACAACAACAACAACAACTCCATCACCTTGTGATTGCCATTATGGTGGTTCTTCTTCTTGTACTTGCAATTGTAATTGTGGCTCTTGTAGTTGTGGCTCTTGTAGTTGTGGTTCTGGTTCTGGTTCTGGTTCTTGTACTTGTGATGATGGTTATGGTGCTAATACTGGTGGTGGTGTTGGTTCTGCTATTAGTGTTAACTCTACTCTTGCTGCTAGTTGTAGTTGTAATTCTACGGATACTTGTCCTTATTGTAATAGTAATAGTGGTTGTTGTTCTTCGTCTGACGGTTGTAATACTAGTTGTGTTGGTGGTAACCTTTGTTATTATAATCAAACTTTTTATACTTATACTGATTTTTGCGCACTTCTTCTTTGTACTAGTACGTTCTATACTAATTATGGTACCCATACTTCTTATCCTTGTAGTTGTAGTGGTTGCACTACTTCAAATTGTAATACTAATTGTCGTTCTGGTTGTAATGGTGGTAGTTGTACGTGTAATTATAATAATGATCCTAGTTGTCATTATAGTACTTGTTCCGGTCAGAGTGGTTGTGCTATTACTTTTTCCGCTGTTACTACTTCTTTTATTGTTTCTTATTATTATTGTCATTTTTAAAAATAGCGTTCTAGTGATGCTATTTGCTCGTGTGACTCCTATCTCTTTTAAATCCGTTGACCAATGAAGTTTTTCCTTAGTTTTTCGAGTGTACTCCGTTCTTTTTTCTTATCAAATAAAGATGATTGCTCTACCAAATTGAAATTTTATATAAAACTATTCCATGTGTTCTTATAGGTGATATAAATTATCAGCCAGTCACTAGCATTAAACGAGACGAACTGTGAGCAAACTGCAAAGTTCCCAAACGATAGCGTATCGTCTTCTTTTGCTTAGTGAGATTTCAGTTGAAATTTTTTTCCAACCGCTCTCTTTTACTTGCTGCTTTCTCATACTTGCTTCTTTCCATTATCAAACTAGTGTATAAAAAATAATGGTTTATTTTAGCGTGAGTTGCGCATCTAACTGTAGAAACAATTTTGGCAATACCGGAAAGAAGATATTGTCACTCCAGTGGAAAGATGGGTGTGTGTCACCTACATAGAGACACCCACACTCAACAACCGTACTCACATCCACACCAACATACCCAATATTTTTCAAAATCGTTTGCGTCACTACTCCTAGAAATAGTGCCTCTATCACATATATTATATTGAGACGAATCGGGCGTCATCGATTGAGCAGCGGGTGTGGGTGTCTCTGTGTGTCTGCCCAAGTGAGCAAAAGACTGGTTAAATGACTAGTCTTTTTTCTAGTCAAGTCGACCCGTCCCGTCTAGTCTTTGTCTCAAAAACTACTCGCCCACGACTAGTCTGAGTTTTTATCCGTCATGCATACGCGTCCTAGTACTCTGATTGACGACTAGTCATAAAATCTAATAAGAGTAGTCTCGACGAGCGTCCCTGTCGCCCGTCAGGAAATGGTTTATGAATGAAAAATTAAGGGAGTCTGGGACGAGTATACAACCAGCTGGAGCCTTATATAGTGGACGAGTCTGGACTAGTCTGAATGAAAATATGTAAGGATGAAGATTAGATTCGAACATGTATANATGTTCAAATCCACCGTGTAACCTCTGTTTTTAATCTTCTTACTAGTCTGGACTAGGTCAACAGACAACACGGACTAGACATGACTGGGCTCAAGGACATTTCAGACTAGTACAGACGTGTTTGTAAGACACTCCTCATTAAGCTGACTAGACAAGACGGGTATGCAAGACATTTCAGACTAGACTAGACGGATCCTGCGGACATTTCTGACTAGTCATGTCGGCAGTCTTCCTTCATTTTTTGCTTACTTGGGTGTGTAAGCTGCTTGAAAAATCGATCGCACCCACTGTGACGATTATTGATGGCACGCTTCGATGATTCTCCTTCCTCTTCATTCTGTTCTCTTTCCATTGTTATAATATATCTCTCTCCTGTCTCTCTTCTATATCTCTCCTATATATAAGCGTGCTATGTATGAAGTTGTTACACTCTGGATATGTGAAGTAGCAAATAAACATCATTGCCGAGAGTGGCTGTAAGCTACTCCACCTCTATCCAGTTTGTCTTAATACATCAACTCGTCAGGGTCTTATATTTATCGTTACACCCACACCCACAAAGACAAATTTATCATTTGATTTTGATTTATTATTGGTAAGATGAACTTGTTTGTTTTTAATTATTTGTGTTTTAGATTCATATACATTTATCTATCGATATAAATCAATGGCATCTGTAATTGAACAAAATATCAATTACTCACTTTTATGTTTATCAAAACTTGTTTTTATGAAACATGGTTTTATATATAATGATGAAACCGTAGTATTAATCTTTGTTTTTTATATTCCTGTTTTCATAATAATTTGCTTTATAGATTGATTCACATGGTACTATTATTACTAAATATGAAAAAAACAATCTAACATTCCGTTTTGATCATCAGTTTTGGATGGGATCGTACACCATCAGTTTCATTGTAAGTACTGAGAAGGTCCTATGCATTTATCAAACCAACTGTTGTCGTTATTGAACACTAAACACTATCAAACAATGATCTCCGATTACGTGAATAATGGGTAATCATAAACTTACCACATCTATATAATCTAAAACGTTTTCTTTTTCTAGACAAGTGATTAACAGAAATGAATTTGACAAAGAATTGTCTCGAAAAATGCGCGAGGTTTTGCCACCGATGTTGATGAGGCACGATTTATTACTTTCATCTAAGTAAATATCGAGCTATGGCTTTTAAATTTATATAAAAAATACCTCTTTTAGTAGTTTCGCGTCTCATACCTGCGTTTATTTTTATTTTCAATTAAACATAAAATTATTGATCGAATGGTATTCCGGGTAAAACCAAGAAATATCTTTTTAAAAATAAATATTTATGAATTTGTTTTACACCTTTACAATAATGTACCACAAACAACAGTTATGCTACGAAAAAGTTATTTTCTTGTTTAAGAAATATTCATTTTTTATTTTCAAAAACTTTTTGGAAGTTTGTGTGTTGGTGACAAGCATTTATGTTATATTGGTAGTAAATTAACTCATGTCTTCCCTCAATATTTAATTCGAGGCAATGCCTTTATTAATATTTTTTCGTTATTATTACTTTTATTATTTAATTTGATAGGAGGTGATATAACGAATTTGTAAGTGAATTAGAAAATTTTATTTTATTTCAAAGATATTTATTTATTTTTATAAATAGCGATGGTTCGGGTGGTGAACGGTAAACTAACAATTGAAAATATATACATATAATTAATGAATTTTTATTTAGTAATTATGGGAAAACACTTGCTGATGAAAATTTTAACAACAAGCATTCCAAACCCGGTACTTTATCAATGACTAATTTTGGTTCGAATACCAATAATTCCCAATTTTTTATAACTTATATTGAACTTCCATTCTTTGATGATACATATGTAAAAAAAATAGAATGTTTCGTTTTCAATTACTTTTATTTTTTTATTGAAGATTGTTCTCGGCGAAATTTCAAGTGGCATGGATGTTGTGCATGCCATCATGAATCAGGGTATGCTTGAGTTTGACTGATATTATTTTAGTAATAAGCTGTTTATCATTTTAGGAAGCGTCACTGGTCGACCTAAACATAGGCGGCGGAACAATTTCGATCTAGGGTAGGCTCAAGGTTTTGGAGAAATCAAGTCTTACCATTGAAAAAAAATAGAGTTGAAGTCAGACTGAAATCGACTAAAATAAGCACTTTAAGTGCCAACTATAAGCATACGATTTCGATCGTCTTTTAATCATTTTTGCTTAGCTCGCATTTCTGCACGGCACAAGTAATGTTATTCGAGTGTCTAAGATTTAAAAGTAATTTTAAACAGAAGTTGCAGAAACAAGTCAGCTATCTTAAATTAAGAATTACGAATTAGATGTCAATTTTAATGCCAAAAACGTGCAACTAATACTTCATTTCGAACGAGTTACTAGTAGAGAAAATATGAAATGATCTTGTAACAATACGTTATTTGTTAGAAAAGCCCCAAAACTGAACAAGAATAAAACCATTTTGCATATAACAACCTATCCAAACATTTATCTGTTCCAGTTTCAGTTTATCAAGGTCTACCCACTTCCAGCTTAGAGTAGGCTAAGCCTACCCACTTTCAACCTAGGGTAGGCTTGAGCCTCGCGAGCCTAATGGCTCCGCCGCCTATGGACCTATAACAGATATCATGATCGTCGAATGTGGAACAACCAATGAGAACTAATACTGCGTTGGTCATTATTATCTCATAAGAACAAATAAAGATATTATTTGTCTAATAAAAGACAAATTTCAGCATAAATATCAGGAACGAATTGAGGATATTTTTGATGGCAGTCATGATCAAAAATGACTTTCGATATCTATTCAAGGCAGTATAATCCCTTTTATTTTCGACCTTGATAGAAAAACATAGAAAAATGAATATTTCGCGATGGAATGGCGATCGGCAGTTTGCCGAAGCGATGAATACGTTATATAGAATTCCTCTAATGATGATTTCTACTAAGAGAATTATTCATCTTATTTTATCGTATTTTGTTTTTCTTGAACTATGTTAGAAAAACATCTATCGAACGAAAAATATAGAAATAAATATGAAGTATCAGCTTTCAGAATATTTTATTGAAACTGAAACAATAATAAATGCGGAAACGTCGGATTTAGATCCGATTGTTATGTGTACTTCAAAAACTGAGTTGATTTATATATGTTGTGAATAATTCTGAGAAAACGTTTTTTGAAAAATTCCTGTACTCCCTCAGGGATGATCTGGTCAATAATGACAATTTTTTCAATAACTCAGCCATTTCTTGACGGATTACTTTCATCTTCGAACTCGACTAAGACATTGATGAGATCATTTTGTGTACAAAATTTCATGACAATTGGATGAGGCTTTCAAAATTTATCGTGTTAACGGCCGACACACTGACCGAATTTAGAGTGTACTCACTTTTTTTGAGTACACAATAATAAAATTGTGAAGAGACACTTTTATTCGATATGAACGACATGCTATTTACTTAATCAGATCTATAATAGAGAAGATGAATGTTCATCGGCATATGAAATACAAGAAAGAGAGAGAAAAAGGATGCCATTTTTTCCCGTTTATTTACCGCTAATTTCGATTATAGAAAAAAAATTGTCATTGTTTTCATTGACGAAATCGGTTAAATTGTATGCGTCTATATAAGCGAAAAAAATACACAGATGACGATAAATATGGAAGGTCTTTGTTGACTTTAATTGATTTACCTGATGAGGCTCTTCTTCTCATTTTGAAAAAATTGGACAATATTGCAGTGCTCTACTTATTCATCGATTTAAATGAAAGTTTTAATAAACTCGTACATGATTCAATTTTTACCAATCACTTAACAATGATAAGATGTTCTTCTAATGGTTCATTTGATCGATTAGATGACCACATACATGATCGGTTTTGTTCACAAATTTTATCTTCGATTCATCATAACATCAAATGGTTAGATGTTGAATGTTCGTCTATGGAAGATGTTCTTCTTTCTACTAGTTATCCTAACTTATCGGGACTTGGTTTACATAATATCGAGAAGGGCATTGCATTATGTATTTTTACTGGTGAGTGGTTTTTTGATTTTTTTTCTTTCAATCATTAATATTTGAAAAATATAGATAAATCAATACAATTATTTTTAAAAAGATTCTTCTCAAAATTGTATCATATCGCATTTGTTTTTTTCTATATGAACAGAAAAGAGAAAAGTCTTATTGTAAATCAATTTGTTCAGTTAGAGAAAAATAATATTTACTTTATAAGAAGAGAGAAAGACTAGAATAGATGTGATAATATCATCCAAATATTTCAAATATCTTATCATTAATTTTTTTTTTTTATTTAGAAGAAACTCCTTTAACTCACATATTTCAAGATAAAATTTCATCACTTGTTATTGATGTTGTTGAATGTGAAAGTTCAAGTATGAATGACACAAGCAATTCAAATATATTTGCACACATTTTAACTTTATTCTCCAAGTTAAAATATTTCGATTATAGATCATCTTTTTGGTATCAATCATTATTTGAAATGTCTACAACTATTTCCTCTTTGATTCTGTTAGAATTGCATATCAAACTGGACAAATTTGCAGATTTTCTTTATTTACTTGATGGTCGTTTCGATTCATTTGAAAACGTTTTTCTTGATATTTGTCAAATATCTACTCCAGAGATAGTAATTAATAATAAAATAAATCGATCCATTTAATATGTACTACTTTGAAATAAGTTGATTTATTTTTTTTAGAAAGAATTACCGAAGCTAAAAGCGTTTTCTCTCTATTCTGACCTACCTACATTTCAATATAATGAATTGATTGTACCACTTCTATACCGAATGGTCAATCTGGAAGAACTCGATTTACATCTTGTCGTGCATTGTGAGAAAAGATTTGTTGATGATTATAATTTGAAATATATACAATATCATTAATCATTTGTTTCAATTAAATGAACTTCTATTTAACATACGATCATGTCTATATCTAAACGATCAAATTTACTCATTATCAAATGAGGATTGTCAGCATTCATTCAATGATTTTAAAAATAATAAAATTATTTCGTGTGTCGATTATTTTCCAGATTTCAAACTTGGTCAATGTCATATTTATTCATATCCATATAGAGCAAAGACACACGAATATATTACAAATAATTTTCCCGGTGGATTATTTAAATATGTTCGTGAAGTTTCATTATATGACGATCGTCCTTTTGAGCATGAATTTTTTGTGAAAATTCCTGAATCTTTCCCATTTATGGAACAATTAACTATATACAATAGGAAACCACAGACGAACAAATTTTATGAACATCAAACTATGATAATCAACATTTATCACCTATTCAATATTCTTACCTGAGTGTATTTGAGTTGTTTTGGGCTCATGATGATTATGTCGAGCAATTTCTATTGGATATCAAAACATCTTTAATAGGAACGGTCAACCTTCAAGTTCTAGTTTCAACGTTGGATAGAGTAACACACAGTTTTACGAGAGATGCAACACGAATCAATTGTAGAAAACTATTTTCTATATATGTACCTCGTGATATATCGATTTCAACACAACTCAAAGACTATTTTCCTCATACAAAAATTTATACACTTTGAATAAAATTGATTGGAATTGCTGAATTATTGTCAAATAAAGATGTATAAAATAAAATAAAAAAGAAACAACTTGTTCTATATCGACCTGTTCACCTCTATGAGCGGGTTTTTTCAGAAAAATTGATCTAACACTATAACGGTATGAACAATATGAACTGAATTTTCTGTGTAGTGAGAACCGGACATCAGAAAACGTAATTCCGTCACAATGCATTTTCAACGGTACGAGCTTAAACTTCAAAATTTTTAAAGCATCCTTCTTTCTTCAGATAGTTTGTCATCTAAGCTACACTTTTGTCACAGACTGTTTTTCCGTACACCGTATCGTTGTGTAGAATTTTGAAGTTTTCATGGATTCAGTGAAAATGACGGTCCCTTTTTTCTGATTCCGTTATGGTATATAATTGTTCTTGTTAAGCATGAATAAGAACAGCAATCTTGATATAACTTATGACACATGTAGAGCAACTAGGACTACGTGCCATGTGAAAGTTTCAGCCTCATATGTTTCTTACTTACTGATAATGCAGAATGTACACGAAAAAAAGGGATTCGGTCACGCTTGGACAGGTTGATATGTTATTTCACGGAAAAAGAACTTTGACGCATGTGAAAAGGATTTTATTTAAAAGGCGCTTATTTAGAAATATGAAAAGTGTGAATCTATAAGATTTTCATTATTATAAATCAGAGATGTCGAATGGATTGGATTGATCCTGATCTACCTATCATAGTAAACAGTAATCAAGGGACATGAGCAACAGAAGTTTTCAAAATTTTTGATAAAAAGGTGTTCGAGCAATGAATTTTTAATTCAGCTTGTTTACGTAAAGCGACACTTCATATATTGTTTCATTTGAAAGAAATGATTATGTAGAGCAAGCTTGAAAGTGTAAGAAAACGTATTTTACTATTTGAAAAATTATTTTCGTGAGTCTCTAAAAACGTATCGTATACATTAACGAGTAGCTTCAACGTTGTCTTTTAAATTTCTCTCTGCCTTACTTTAAAACTAGCATGCATTTAACTAATGACTAGTTTCGATTATATCGTGACTAAATAACCATCTCCTCATAAAATATTATGTTGCTGATGTTGGGAAATATCGTAATAAACTTATGCATAATAAAACTAGTAATTATAATGAATAATTTTTGAAAAATTCTCTCTGGGCCCAAAAGGGTTCAAAAAATCCAAACCTCATATGATGCTTAGATTGTAAAGAGTGAGGACTGAAAAAATCTACACATAGTACCACAATAATATATGTAACCATTTGTAACAATTAGCATCTCAATATCTTCTTGCAATAAAATCAAACAGCAAGAATTTGTGATAGATCAAACGGTTCATAAGACACATATGGTAACAGAGATATCACAGAAATGCACTTATTTGTTGAGAACCGGTTAAGCTACAACATCCAGATTTTGACTCTACAGTGCATATGTAGAATGGAATTTGTTATATTGATTGGATCTTATCCTATTCCGTCTTCTAAAATCAATTGAGCCAATGTTTACATTTCAGGACGAACTCATATGACCCTCATATAATTTGATATGTTTTTGAAAGTTCGGGTAGAACTAGGAATCGAAACGAGACAATAAGTATGTTTTTTCATATGCATTCTATAGTCAAATATCTTGAACAATCCGTTGTCATATGATTTCTCAATGACACTGAAAATAATTTCACTTCAGGTAAGTTTTATTACGTATTATTCAATAGTTGTATAAAAAAATAATCTAAACATAGTCAATCATCATCTTTGTCTTCATCCGCATCATCATTTGGTTTTTGACATTCTATAAGATCAATTCAACAACTTTTGGATTTTTTGTCGTATTGCTGCCCAGTGAAAATTTTTTATCGGAAAAAATGGTATAAAACGTGTTCCAAAATGTTGAATGGCCTTTTTTGAAGAAAAAAAAGCGTTCCAAGAAAAGTAGAACGTAATCGAAAGTGGAACGGTCAAGAACGCATTTCACTCTCTTCGGAATGCGTATTCAACGGCTTCAGTCTTTTTGGAACGTTTTTTCCTTAAAAAAAGTTAAATACATTTTTTGGAACATGTTCTTGGCCATTATCATCTGATTTTATGTTCTCCAAAAAAGCCCTCGAATAAGAATGAATGACGTTAGTAATTGCTTGGTGAAAATATCTACTCCTATGCAACTTTACGAGCTCTATCCAGTGGTGCTCTCCGATTCTTTATAGTTCAGACCGTTATTAAAAAAATATTTTTTGAAAATTATGATTTTCAGCTGACAAGTACAGTTCGTCAAGGTTCCATTATTTTTGGTGATAGTTTTGGCGTGTAGTGCTCCAGCATTATCAATTTAGCATCTAAATTGACGTTAAATTCAGCTGAAAGTGTCCCACAATTCAGTGAACGACAGAGAATACGTTCTTGTTTTTATAGAACTGTTATAGATTGTACGGAATGCGTTTAACAATTCAAAGAATCCATTATTAGGCGTTCCGCATGAGAAGGCGAACAAATGCGATTCCGTCCTGCTATTCTCGAAACGGATGAGAACGCTTTCTGATCGACCGTAGGACTATTTTTAAATCGAAAAAAGGCATTCTACAATTACATGAAACGACAAAGAATGCATCCCTTTAAACCCAGAGTGTTTTTACATTTATGGAAGGGTGTGGGTGTTGGTATGTTTGTCGCACGTGTACACGTAATCCGACTACCACCACAGATTCCCGCACCCACACCCACCCGCGATGAAAAAAATTCATTTTGGAGCGCGAAACTGCTAACTAATTGATAGTGCTCAATTGTTTTGGTGATAATTACCGAGTTGATTAGCTTTTACATATATGTAAATCACTTAGCTTTTTCCACGGCTCTAAAAGAGCTTGTTGCCACGATAATACCGCTCACCAGGAGGAGCAACACGTGTACAACAAACACTATTACCAGATCGATCGGGACCATTGCAAACATTACTGTTGATACGATGAGCATCAGGATCATCATGGCCGCAACAATCGTAATTAGTAGTACAGACTTAACCGAGACGAGTACAACCACCTTTGTTGACAGGTTGATCAGATTTTTTTCCTATTAGTGCATTGCAATGCACAGGTAAAAATGTTAAGATGCACATAAAGTAAATCACAGTCTTAATGCTATGCATTTTTCTGATGTCGCTTATCGAAGGGATACAAATATACGTGTTAATTGAAAAATATGTAAGGTACTCCGATTATGGTTTTATTCAAGTCGTACTGCTTTTATATAAGTAATGATTGTTTTATAGAAAATATAAGAACAAATGACTCTCTATTCATCGTGTGGAGTGAAGAAACAGTGAGTATCTATCGCTTATTTGCGAATGGAGAATAGTTATACACACTTAAAACATATTTGTTCTTTTCTTTGTTTGAAAGCAAATAGATACTAGTGCGGGTGTGAGACGTATTTAAACATACAGATGTTGAATACAATTTAAAATGCCCTCTAGGTCTCCTTAATATATTTTCAGTATCAGATTACTGAATGTCAATGTGTGCAGTTTTACCTTTAATCCATATGCGCAACCATACCATCAAAACTTTGTGAGCACTGTTCTCCATGTAAGTACAGGGATACCGTTTTGAAGTTAACTATGAAAGATGCACTTATATTTGTAAGACGCTACTTCAAGACAATTTTATGTTAATATTTAAGTGTCCTCCTTCCTTTTTTCAAAAAAACCTTGGAATAAAACTAGTAATACTTTACATAGCTACGGAAAATTTCTCCATATGGCATGGAGTTGAACATTCTTAAGATGTTTTGAGAAACGGAGTCTACAAATAATATTGGCGTTTTTTTATAAATAACTAGTTTATTCCTCCATCGAATCACTTCATTTTACAAAATTGCTTCTCGATAAGTCTTGAGTGTAGGTGTGAGTGCGTCGCATTACTGAACTAGCCGATCGTAACACATACTTCTACCCAACCACACCCTCAAAACATATTTTCAATCATTATTCGCTTAAGTCACATATGGATGTTGCTTCGTTTAAGTGTGGTGTCGCTTATGTACGGATTATTTAGATGCGTGGTTAACGTGTACTGAATATGATTGTTTTGAAACTTTTTCTTGATTCATACATCAATCTCGTAATAATTATTTCGTATGGCCAACTAAAAGTCATACGTGAAATGAAATTTTCAGAACGTAGAAAGTTGCGTAGAGCAAAACAAGAGAATTATGAAGTCTACTATAAAAGACAACGTCAAGTCATGCGCCAATGAGTCACTACTCTGTGGCTATAATGTTTTATTGGTTGAAGGCAAAGATAACGCGTGCTGTTGCTTGATGGTGCAATCAGACATTATGCTTCTACTAGCCTCTTATATGTACTTTATCTGCTTCCAATGCTCTGCGTTTTCTTATATAAAGTGTGTTACTGTTTCATACATCTACTTCACAAATTGAAAAATCTAAGTTCTGTGAACGGCCGGCAGTCAATCACCTTCGAAAAGCCACCAGAACATTTTTTACGTTTATTTCAACGTTTGAAAGGCTCGACAAATGTCTGAAACCAAGACAAGCAAAATGCTACGACTCAAGCACAAATCAGCATTGAGCAGCAAACAGCAGATGACATTGCAATTCAAGTGAAACCTCCTCCAATTAATAATAAACAACATAAGGCAAAATCTTCACCCTTTTCACCACTGAATTTGTTAAGCGACGATCACAATGGCTCCTTCTATCATTTTCTACAGAACTTTTCTCGAGCCCAATGTCGGATGTTTTTTTCAACGTCAGGTCGTATGGGGTTTGATACAATCAAAACATCAACTGAATTCCCTCCAATCGAGACCGTACGCGAAATGATTACTTATGAAACAAGCATCCGACTATCCGAGCCGATTCAAGAACTCATGAAATTTTATTACAACAATGAGGCTACGTTGAGGTAAGCCCTACTTTTGCACATAATCTCATACTCTAAATTGACTTTTGCTCTGAAATTGAAGTCGGATGCTCGATCTCATCCAACAACATGCCGTGGAACATTTTGGATATCATGATGTCAACGCTCTGCGAACTGCTTTACACCGTTTTCCAGATGATCCAGCAGTGAAATTAGCTTATTACGGTAAGTCAAAAAGAGAAACAGAAACATAAATAGACGCTTCGTTGCTCTGAAGTTAATCTGCTTTTCACAAAAACGTTTTCGAAATAAAAGCTATATTTTATTCTTACTATTAACAAAGTTAGTAGAGATTTTCAAGTACAAATCAACGGCTCCATCTTGAATGCTACAACTTTTTTATGCTACAATTAAATATCTCGGTTGATTTATTTCTAGTTAAGCACAACAAGATCACACAAGGTTTGATCAGTCTAGGTCAGTGTGCGCGTGACGTCGATTTGTATACCACGGAAGGTCAGCTCAGGAATCTTTTCTTACAAATCACAGCTGGTCAGCCATTAGTCATTTTGGCTGGCTCAACTAGTTGACCTCCATTTCGGGCGTCTGTCGAGCGAATTAAGTAAATATTGTTGATTCGATTAAATCTTCTACTTCTTATTCATTTGCTCTAGCGTGCTATTTCGCTCACATGCGCCTAATGGGCTGTGTTTCTTGGTGATTTTTATTGTTGAGGCACATACACGCGATGAATGGTCTATGGGTAAAATAATATCACGCGTAGACCAATCAGTTAATTACATTCGAACAACGCCCGTGAATGTCAGAAGGATTGTAAATTTGAAATACCCATGCTTGTAGATAGTATGATCAATCGTATCGTCCCATTGTCTAGATGCTCGTATTCATCGCTTATTTTTCTTCTGTTTCTTCATTAACTCGACGACCTTTAACTATGGAATTCAACATGAAGTTATGATGACTGTGTGATAAAATCACATTTGTGAATGTTCACAGTTTGATGTCAATATGTTGCCTTCTTTGAGGAAATTAGCGCGTAAATCCGTTGAACTAATGAATCAAGCAGATAGAAACTAGGGAATATGTAGAATCACTCGAATGTTTGTTTATCCTGTTGAATTCTTTTTTAAATAGAACAAAATTATTCAAAATCTAACGATAGAATGAGAAAAAGATTGTGTTTTAACAATGAAACGACGAACTCGCTATGGTTAGTATTGCTATTGCAGAATACTGTTAGGAAATCATGTATCTGCCTAATGAGTAAAGTTTGTTTTCTCATTGGATACTGTAGAATGCGCAGTTCGATGTATATTGTCATGGTTGCTATCTACTTAGTGAATATCTATTTCATGAGGCATTAAATTTAAGACAAAGTAGACATCGAACTTCTTTTGAATTACAAAATCAATTTCGGCTAAGCGTACGATGTCATTTCTTTATGAAAAAAAAAATTTTGTTTGATTGAAGTAAAAAAATCATCAATAATTATGAAAAAACAAATATCATTCTATGTTAAATTAAATCCATGAGAATACTTTCTTCAGATCTTCACATTAGCAGAATATGCAAAGCGGACAATGATGCTTTCATTTACATCTGTTTCATAAACGAGATCGAAGCGAAATGAAATATTTCTACGAATTATTAAATAAAAAGACAACAGTTAAACGAACAAATTATTTTCGATACATTCACTGATATACTCCATTTGTGTTTTTCAAAAGCTAAACCGAACCGAACCAAAATATCATTTTTTTAGAAATACCAACGAGGATAACAAAACTAAGGAATCATTAAACTATCTCATCTTTATCTTACAATAGTTGATTTATAACTCCGCTAGTTATCACCGAACAGAATTGATCAGTAGTTTTCTGAATACAGTGAAAACTTTTGCATCAATTATTGTGTTTAATCATAAAGTAAGCAGTCTCTGTTTCGCTCCTAATTCTTCCGTTCCAACGTAGAACGGAATTTTGTTGTACACAGAGTAGCACGAATGAGAATACACTGCGGCCAGACAAGACATAGACTATTTTTCACTAACAAATATAATCTTGAAGGTGCATCAAATTTACTTGCGGTGCTTCTGTTTGTAGTTAACAGAATCATTTATATGGCGATCATTGTGGTTTTCTTCACGACGAAGTTTTTCAACTTCGCGGATAGTCTGAATATTCTCCAACATAATAAATCACTACCAGACTCATACCCACATTAATTATGTTATAAACACGATTGAAATTCGGTAATCGATATTCATTAAATCATTGTACATCAATATGTTTCATTCATTATATCTTAACACAGATCTGGCATAGCAAACGTGAGCGCACCCAGCTTGCTCTTAATCTTGAACGGACTGTCCATTTTAATTTGTTTTCTGCCTTAATGCACTTATCTATAATATTCACATCATAATTGCAAGTAAACATTAAATATAGGAGAGCATTATTCATGGTTTGTTTTAATTATTAGGAAAATTACAGCCACGATGTTTCTTCAGACTGCTAGAAGCTGGTAGAAAAAAATTATATTTTACGTTTTGTTTGTGTTGACTTGATGCTAAGAGAAACAGGCGTTTTTATTTTCAAATATGTTAACTTCTAGTTTTGTTTTGCTGACAATAAATGACCTCTTGTATTTCAATAAAAAGAAGAGTTAAAGAATTTCTTTCTTTTGAAACAAATGTATGAAAGACGAAATATTGTTTTACGATCTTTCTATGAAAAAATGATTCTTGATCTTCACCTTCTATGTGATAGCGCTTTCAGCGATCACCGTGTTTTTTATGCACAACTTGATTCATTTGAAATAATTTAGGGCGTGGGTGTGTATGGAGCATGAATACAGCTGCAGATTGTTTAAGCTCACCCACATCCAACTTATCAATAATACCAACAGGATCACCAAGTGAATTATTAGCTTCTTTAGTAGTAAAATGTAAGATTACAAGCTGACGACTAAGTAAGCTTCCCAATTGTTTATTCAATGAAAGAACACGACCATAATCCAGATCTGATTCGATATATAGTTCACTAAAATATGGTGATCGTTGAGCAATACGAAGTAAATGTGAAATATTTTCGCCAACAATGCCACTAGATTATATTCAAAAACATGAATCAATAATAAATCTGCGACATGACACTTAATTATCGTCAGGACAATCACCTTCGAGATTAATTTTCCTCGAATGATGTCAACAAGATATTGCTTCCAGTTGGACGAACTGTTCGTCTTCGACATAATCCAGTTCCTAAATATCCATCTACGCAAAGAGAGAATGATGGTGTGACGGTCATTTTCGTTCATCGAACTTACTTCTTCAACATAGTCGTTCACTAGTGCGTCTGCAACGCATTCGAAGCTCTACATTGAATCATTATTACTATCCATATCTTTCCATATCGCGCTGCAGATTCTGTACCAGTTGCTAGTCGATATTCGGTAAAGATCTCTTCTCGAATTTCGCTATTACTAAAGGCATAAATTGTATTCAAGTTCAGTTTAAATGTAAATATCTTCAATTTTGATAATGTTAACCATTGTCATAATATTGTTACTCGTGGAAAATGACTATTAATCAGCGAATCTTTCATAACCTGATATAGTCATTCGATCGAGTCGACTGTAACGTTGATGATCTTCGAAAAAAGTTAAAACCCAAACTGCACTTGTAAAGATTTTCAGATTGATGTAACGTAGTTCAGATGTGAATGCTTGTTTTAATGGAATTGGAAGTAGCAACTCATTCTCAATATTGTCATGAGCCCTAAACCATAAAAAAAGAACAAATTTAGTTGATCATCTCCATTGACGATCCGTCACTTACATAAAAAAGTAACGCGTAGATTCTGCAATTGTGGTAGACGACCATTACTCAATAGTTCAGTTAGTAATTCTCTTGAACATCCATTAATTGAAAGCTTTCACTAAATATCATTTTATAATTACTACTAGCATGACTCGCAAGTCGTAAATAGAGCGAATGTAATTGAGGTAAACAGTTGAGAACTTGAATAGCAATGCCGAAATCAAAGCATTCATCATATTGATCACAATAAAATCGATGATAACCGACATCGAGTGATAATGACTGAATTTTAGATAAGCTTCAAGGATATTACGTGAAACATCTTAAAAGGTCACTGCTTTCAGTGATAGCCAGGTGAGCTTATTTAGTCGCACGTCAGACAGAAAGTAATCTATTGCACATGGTGCATTTCGTTTAGGTAAATGAAAGTAAACAATCTGTGAAGCATGTTTGCTAACAATTTTCTTTAAATAATGACAATATAACTGAATACTCATTTGTCGATTATTCGGTAAGCATAGTGGCTGTTGAGCAAACATAATGTCAAATTGTTGATTGAGCCTTTCGAAAGGATTAACAAGGTCATGAGGAGCGAGATATTTGAAAATATGAAGAAAACGTTCGACTGGTAAATCTTGAAAATGAAATTGACGTTCATTCATGATCAATTTTCTAGCGCATCGATTTATATCAATAGACTGATGATATATTTACGGTGACCGTGAATTCCTGTTGGACATGATTCACAATAGTTGTCTAACTAGAGAAACAAAGCTGCCGTCCAGAATGGTCTAACCAATATTTATTTTGTGACAATTACCAATAAATAGATGCCTTATAATATCGTACGTATTCAAAAGACTTTCACTTCGGTAATATATGCAACTTGATTTCCGTATATTATCTGATAACAAGAAAACATTCTTTGTGGAAAGTAAGCTTCAGTCGATTTTCTTTTTGCTACCGTTTAACATAGATAAATGAATATCATATCTCTTTATACTTTTTTTTCCATAGGTTGAATGATTAAAATATAAGTGAGTGACATTTTCAGCTCGACTAATTCTATCGAAATCAGCGACAAGGATCGTTGATGAAATTTCGAGAATCTTGCTGATTTCAAAAGATCTGGGCGATATTAATTTAAATCAACGCGTGATTTGTTGCAGATCTAGTTCGTTGGGCGTGCGGGAGTGGATCAATCAAGTATCCACATTTATACACTTACACACGCACCCTTCTTTGATACAATAAATAAGTTTTGCAAACTGAAAATCGATGGCAAGAGAAAATAATTTTGATTGAAAGTAGTTTTGTTGATTTGTTTCTCCTTACTAGATTTATTTTAGTAATATTATTCACTAAATCAAAACAAATTACTGATACAATCACTTATCGATTGATTTAAGAAATATTTTTTATGGCAAAAGATCTTCGTTTAAATTCTACTCTGGGAAAGATGATATCAAATAAAATATCTTTGATAATTGTTGTAACTTATCTTCTTAGTACTAAAACAACGAATGTTTAGTCTATACGGTAATGTTGATCCGTTTGTTGCTATCTATCGAGTTGATTCAGTTGCAACTGAAAAGTACGAAATTTTTATCTTTTCTTTTTCGAAAATCTTGTGAAATAAATAAGTCAATGCTATTGGTTGATAATCAATATCAACTATTGCAAGGAACTTTAACTTTATTCTTAGCTATATGGTCTTACGTGCTTTAGTTCTTCTTTCATATTTTGCTTGGCGAGCTAGTAAATATGCAAAAAAACAAGAATTTCAAATAAATTCATTCATTTGTTTTGAACAATGATTAAGCAATTTGATGTCCTGTCACTCTCAACAAGAAATTATTCAACAACAAAAATTCACGCATCAGTATTCAAATAAATGAAAAAAGAGAATCGAAGCTTGAAGAAAAACTTTCTGTTAACGTAGATTGCTTGAGAGAATCATTCAAGTTACGACTTCGAATCGATGGCATTCATTTAGCTCCTTCTCAATCTGATAATTCTACAATTGATGTTAACCAATGACGAAGACAAATCTTATAACTACATACTATGCAGCGGATTGGTTCTTGGAAAAAATGGATATATGAAGGTTTTCTCTAGGACTCGATTTCTAAGTCATATTCGCCAAGAGGCCTATTATTCGATCGTCAACATTTGACGTTATGATGAATATTATGGTCATGCATAGCATGAGTCACATCACCATAACGCATGATTGTGAATGAGTTACGTATCAAACATATTGATCAACCTTGTATTAAAGGTGGCTCTTTGAATTTCATTCTACATAAGTGAAAATCGTTTGACAATGCAACAACATGATCATCGTTCATAATTTTCTTCTGTTTGACAACCATATAGTTACTCCACAGTCATTGCATGAAACAAATTCTCATCATACTAGACCAAGTTTGCATAAAAAATGTATAAAATGAGCTTATTTATCTACTTTAAGTTTTGATCCTGATCGCAAAAACGCAGATCATCTTGGTACGCCTCATTGACAACGGCACATTGTCTACAAATTCTACTTCGTCAGTTGAATCAATAGACGGTACAAGCACCATTGGCTATGAATACAACCAAGCTAGAGAGGTATTTCCAAAGTCATCACCGAGCAGAAAATTTTCTATTTTACCTTTGGTATTTATTGGTGACGCTCTTATAGGGCTAGGTGGTAGTCCGGTAGGAATAACGATCCTTCTTAGAAAGAATGAATCGGCGAAATCAGGTGCATCTACTTAATTTGATTTTGACACTTCCTTCCCAGGTCAAAAAGGGACGATCGTATACGGTCGTTTACACAAAAATACGATGCATTACGGGAAACGTACACGATGGCAGTATACGATGACTGTTTACGTTCCCTCTACGACAATTTACAACGGTCGTTTATGATCGTGCAATAACCCATCGTACCCGATGACCGTATACGATCGTATTTGTATCGTTTAATTTTTTTTGTATTTTTCAGAATATTTCATGATATGATCAACCAAGCCTTTTACACAAAAATTATGAAATAAAAAATTTGCTCAAAACGATATGATAACAGTCTTTTCGTGTGCACACGTATCATTAGATACTATAGGACATATTGCTTCCAATGTTAACGCTATATTATTCTGTTTAGCGAATAGAAGACATGTGATAAAAGAAAGAATTGAGATGTAAACAATCGTCGTATACAAGTAGAAAAATTAAAGAAAACAAAATTTAAAAAAATGAAAGTAGTGTTTTAAGAGTTCACAAACGCGAAAAATGAATATTTTTTTAAACTGATAGAAAAATAAAATGTTAAATTTTAGATTCTGACATTTTTTCAGAGTTAACCTGCAGTTCATAGTGATTCAGCATCTCTGTTTTTCTTGTTTCTACGCACGGTCAACACGAACGCTATTTCTATCGGATAGACTAACCAATAACTATATATATGCTGAATATATTTTTATTTATGTAATGTAATATATTTTAAAGTTAAAGTTTGAATTTTAGCAATGCATATGATATATGCATTCTGTTCATCATGAAATGTTTTGATTTAGTAACTCTTTTCTTTTATCTATATTTATTCATTTTTATAATAAAAAATTCCTCTTGTGCTCCAAGCAAGAAAATTGCATGACATGTTTTGACGTAATTATACAAAATTGATTTATGACGATTGTTGATGAAACTTTTAGATTATTTTCATTTAATTTTATTCATTATATTAGCTCAAATGTATCAACATCTTCATATGGCTATGGAACATGCTGAGAGAAAACTGCAAACTAGTAAAAAACAAAATAATATTCGACGTCGTCGAAAACCAACCGACACGGTCGCAGACACAGTACTTGATGATTCTTTAGCACATTATGATGATCAAATGGAGCAAGAATCAATCGACCAGGTTGAAGCGGGACAACAATCGTTAACTCATCCTGATGAAACATTACATTTTGAATATAATCTAAAAGATGATTTTCAGGATGACCCTACAGATGATGTTAAAAGCAATTTTGCAGATGATTTTGATCTTAAAACGTTGGAAGAAGATTCTACGGAGGTTAATAGTACACTAGATTTACATGAAGAAGAAAATTTCAATGATGCAGATGATGATTCAATATTGGATCACTTATGCCTACCAAGAAATAATACAAATACTTATAATCTTCATTTGTATACAACCACTAAAATGCATGATTTTTGTCGACAGCTGGTTGAAATTTTTAGGGACGCCAATATAAGTAATGTTCATTGTTCTCGATTGCTCAAATTGATTAATCAAGTCCTTCCACAACCTCATAATTCACCAACAACATTAAAATCTTTATATGGCGCCATGAATAGTAAGTATATATATTTTATTACAGAAATGGCATAAACTATATCTAAATCATTTAACGAAGACTGTTACAAAATTTAGTATACAGTAGAAAATTTTTCAAATAATAATATAAGTTTCAAGTTTTGATAGACTTAAATATAGTTCATGAATATGCTTTCATTGGCGATAGATTTTTGTTCATACTAAAATATTTCTTGATATAGAAAGCTGATTCAACGTATCTGATAACTCTTGAATAAACTGCTAATAAATCAAGGAAAGTCTGACAAATAAGTATACAATTTAATCAAACCATTAACTTTTTCTATGCATAATTTCATTTAAAGCTAGAGTTCATTTTTTCTTTCTCATTGTTTATTCATCTCATGCAAATGCGAAATAATTTCAATATGATTATTTCATTCATTAGTTCGTTTACATTCTATTTGTTGACGTTCGATAGCATTTATAAAATAAAAGTATAATAAACGATTTACAGTGTCCTTTTACAAACAGAAACAATACCATTGATTGAGACTAAACAAACGAATAATTTTCGCAAAAGACGATATGCTCCATAACATTTATAAATAAATTTTGGTGCCGCGATTGGTATTGAGCAGCTTATCATAAGACATTTCATATCTTTTAGTTCCCATTGAGGGTTGTACGGTGCAATATTGAAATAATCTATTACTTTTTTTTGTAGAAATTCTAGGAATGACTTGGTGAAATGTATTTCTGAATGAAATATCGATCATAAGCATGAAGTAATAATGTCAGAGGTCAGCCAGTTATAAAAGCATTTAAATCAACTACGAATAAAGATTTTTTGAAAGGCTCAGTATTTTATAAAAAGAAAATCGAGTTCGAATCTGTCTTAGAATAAAATTTAGAAACGTAATTGAATCATGAAAAGAGAGATAGTAGTTGACTTATTTCTGATTTAATTAAATTTTTCAAGATATGGTCGAAACCACACAAGAGTTTACTTTCTTGAGTTGTCATTTTCGAGAATTCCAAGATTTGTTCCAGCATTTTTGGTCTTAAATAATAGATTTGTCTATTTAGCTTATCATAAAATGTAGAAAGTTATGAATTAAAATTACTCCACGTATATTTCGTACCTCGTCAGATGGAAATAACATATCATTTTTGCTAAAAAATATAAAAGATCACGTTTCATTCTGTACGCAGTAGTATTATCTTGAATGGCTACTCTAAAAATAAATATGCTATATTTTTATTTTAAACTCTTATTATTATTATTTTTTTATTTTTTATTATTATTATATGCTATAACCAAGGACAGACATGATGTCGAAGATATAAATAATAACACCATGATAAAAAAAACAATATATTTATATATATTTAGTAAAATGATTTATTTTATCTATACGTTCATCTAATCATTTTGAAATTATTAAAGCATATTTTATTTATGTTAATTTTCGTTTTAGTTGAACAGCTATTTACTAAACGATTGGTTTGTACGCAATGCCAAAATATTTTGTCTGGTGATGAGAAAACATGTAGCAATTGTGATCCATCAAATATTAGATCGATTGCGACTATATTTGATGTTAATCAACGATTGGTATTCACACAAACCTTGAATCGTCTTTTAAATGATATTGAAACTTATCGACAACAAATTATAACCGATCGTGCATCACCACATAATAACAATGGCATCGTTATTAATCATATTTATCAAAAACTAGAAAATAAATATGGTTCAACGCCATTTATTTCATTATTATTACATCTAGATGGTACAAGTCTGACTAAATCAAGTAAACTTACCTTATGGTTGTTAAGCGGTTCTATTGTTGAACTTCCTGTGCATTTGCGATATCGGCGATTTAACATGATGATACTTTCTGTTTGGATTGGCTACTGTGAGCCGGATATTGATTTATGGCTAACGGAATGTTTACAACAATTAAACATTTTAAAAACACAAGGTTTTTTTTATAAATTTCTCTTTATAAAAAGCTGTAACAAAAGTCAGCAAAAATTTAGTAAATAGGGTTGATATTAATCATAATTAGAAAATATACTCAGGAGGTCAATGAATGAAAGAGGCCAAATAAATCTATTTATCATGAGAATATTTTTCGACTGCAATATTGGACAACATTTCTAAGTATATTAACCACGAGATTATTTTATGTTAATATTCAATAATATAAATGTATGTAATTACTGCGAAATTTTCTGAATTTATTTCTGAGTATATTATAGCAATGATTTTGAATAATCAGCTTATACTAATAATAAAAAAGATATAAGGATTTTATTAACAATATGCATTTTTTGTTAATGATTATAGGTATTACAACTCAAACTGGTATTAATTATACAGTACTTATTTATGGATTAACGGGGGATTGTCCCGCTATTAAATTAGCCACTAAGCATGTAAATCACCAAGGTTATTGGTGTTGTTGGATGTGTTTTATAAAGGGTATTCACACAAAGACAAAAAGACAATATTATTTTGAAAAAAACCTCGTTTTACGTTCAATTGCTGAATATGAAACTTACTCAAAAGAAGCACAAAGAAAAAAGAAAAAGATTTTTGGTCATCTTGGTTGTTCACCATTTGCTACTATCGTTGATGTTCCTTTACCACAATGCATTGTAATTGACTATATGCATGTATCACTTCTTCGTCATATGCGAACCGTTATTCAATATTTATATCAAAAATATCTAAAGCCTAAGGACAGAGATGAGATCGATCAACTTTTTCATAAGCAGAGATTTCCTCATTTTTTCAACAGAAAGATGCGTCCGATCAAAGAAATGTCCTATTGCAAGTGAGTAAACATAACTCTTTCTATTTTGATTTCTATTGTTTTTTATTAGAGCAACAGAATTAAGAAACATGTTATTGTACGGACTGTTGCCACTTATTCGATTACTTCTACCTGATTCAGTAGCAGCTCATCTGTCACTCTATGTAGCATGCATGCGAGTAGGTTTTTTTTTTATTATATTTCTCAAATGAGAAAATTGAAATTTTTTTAAAATTAATTGTTGAAATAAATGGGTTCGTCAATCATGTATTGAGTCTTTAAATTACTCAATTACATGTTTAGCACTCTGATAGTTTGATTGCATTAATTGGAAGTAATGAATTGATACCACATTCAATTGAAGGATCTATTTTAAAAAACTTTTTTTTATTTGATATTCAAAAATCTTTTTCAATATACTGCTTTTCTAAATTCATAATAGATGAATTCGAATAAATAATTATTTCTGTTTATTCGATAGATTGCAGAAAATTTATCTGACTTAAGAAAATAATGTGAGCTTTGTCAAAATCATGGTTTATCATGAATAAAACAATCTAAAAATTGTTTTCTTTTTACATTTAAATATATTCAATTAAAGAAAGAGGCAGCAGAATGCTTCCGCACTTTACATTGCGATTTTCTAGTTCTATACTTAGTTTAAAATTGACACAATGCTTATCCATTACATAATATTTTTTATGACACTTAGCTGCAAGATGAACTTCTCAATTATTATATAGACTTTTTCTTTTTTTATCTCAATTTCTGCAAATGTTATTTTTAAGTTATTTCATGGACCTCGTAAACTTGGTTTGAAAACAGAAAAAGTAGCCAATGAATTGTTTAATGTTTACTATGAAGATCATCCATTGTTTTATAAAAGCATTCAACACTTTACGTTACACTTGCATTCCCATTTTGCCGATCAATATTTTCTACATGGAAGTCTATCAAATCTGGGTGTCTTTGGTCAAGAATCTCTATTAGGTTATTTCGTAAAAAATAAACATGGTGCACGAAACTTTGGGCAAATAATTACAAACAATTATAATGTAAAGTGCCTTCTATTGATACGATTCAATTCTATTGTAGATTTACACTTACAATTTCAGATTGACTTCACAATTAACCATCGATTACAAACTCATTTAACGGATCATTCTAGTAATATCAACGAACTTTTTGATCTTTCAAATATTTCAATCGACGAATTTCTTCGTAAAAGTCATAACGATTTATGTAATTGTTGTAATCCTCATAGATGTATTCGTATATATCGTCGTTATCGAACAGACAAAATGGTATATCATTCTTTGATATACACTAGACGTCAATCCACTAACAGCTATTTCGTGCAATATACGAAAGATCGGGAAAATAATATGTTTGGTTCAATTGAATTATTCTTTACGTGCAACAATAAAAATTACGCTTTAATACACAACCATGACAAGAAACATTTATACACAGATTTTTTTCACTCTACAAAATATCATTCATTTTTATGCAAGGCGCTAAATATGTTTTATTTTGTGCTTCATCGTACATCTAGTTGTTGTGACATTGTCACAGTAAATAATATATCGAACATGTGTATAGTGTTTTCATTTGTTGATCATCTTGTTGTAACACCCCTTTCTTCTTCATACGAACATGACTGAAGTTCTTCTATTGAATAAATCATTATATTATTCGCAATATTTTCTTCGTCTGAATTTCTGATAAAATGAATATCAGAAATCGTCTTCTAATTAATTTTCTTCGCCCGGTTAAGCGAGAAAAAGGTCGGAGTGTATACTATTCCACAAAAGTTTTGTTCGTTCTGCCGGACTGTATATATATATATATATATATATACATATATACATGATTCTTCATACTTCGATCATTTTAATTTTACTATTTAATGAAGCAATGTTACCACGTCGACAAGTACTGCCCCGTCAAGTTTTTACTCCTACACAACATACACCACCAGCAAGTCATTATTTAATTGTTTTTGAGAACACGAACTCCTATCAAATAGCTGCACGATCAAGTTTAAAGAAAATCAATGGTGCTGATGTTTTATTAATGGTTCGAAATAAATTAGTGAAAGCAAAACTTATTCATAGTGGTACATTTATTTTTCAAAACAGAATTTTATTCCCTCGCATTATTTATCTTCAGGGTCGCTTGAAGATTGTAATATTGAATATACTAGATTAACTCGTATGTTACAATCAGAAACAGATACACAAAATCATGGTATAAAACTCGTGCTGTATCATTCTTATAAGAATAGCTATTATTTTATATTTTAGATGGTGATGATGAAATTGATGAAGTAAGTGTTGTTAATTCTAACAAGAAGTATGTAATACGTCCGCGAGATGATCCATCGAATTTTTTAACATCAGCTGCACCAACATCACCTATTTCAATAAATAATTCCTCACCAGAAAAAATATCTGATGAAAGTAAGTTAATTCGTTTCAAATTAAGGGAAGATTTTTCTGATATTTATCGCATTTCATCACTGTATATTTTTTTCAGCGTTGCCAAGAAATTATATTTGTTTCGAGTTTAAGAAAGTAATCGAAAGTTTATATAATAGTACACTTTCATAATCTCGTACCTTCTTAGCATATAAATATTTCTGGCGAAATGCTAAATATTTGTAATATATATTGTTATTAGTATCACCTGATGTAGTACTAGCGATCTATCTTAGTGTCGAAGTCCTTGTTTTCTCTATTTTTATGAAATATAATTCGTATCATGTGCCTTCATAGAAGTAAATTCTGATGATGAATTAGAATCATTTTTTGATCATCGTAAACGACGACGAAAACAAAAACAATATAAATTATGTAAAAAAAAGAAAGCAATTGAAAATGAAATTTTGAAAAATCATCTTACACCAGACTCGGGTAAGTCTTAGTAATACAATTGTAAATATTAATTTTTTTAAAATTTTAGATGATGATGTTGATCAGGTTGATCTGAACAGAGGACGTTGTGTTACTAATGAAACCGAATCAAGTATTCATACAAGTAAGTTTAACTCTTTTATCAAAATTAAAATCAATCTTCATTTATAATATTTTAGATTCTAATATCTTGAAAGGTATCAACAACAAATTCAATGAATTAACTCAACAATTAACTTTGAATTCGTCCAAATTTGATCAACAAATGAATCATTTAAACACCAAGATAGATCGTATGACTTCAACTACTAATATAGTAAGTTGTTAATACGAAGAGATAGTTCAATCTATATCTCCATTTTCATCGAAACAAAATTTTCATAGCTTATATTGATTAATGAAATGCTCTATTTAATACTCGGCTCATTTTTTGTGAAAAACTTCAACGAATCATTATTGATCACGAACATTTTTCTTTTTTCTCGATATAATTTAAAAAGGTTTTCAGTAAAAAACAATCCTTTAATAATGATATATAATTTTTTTTATTGTGCTATTCATGCGTTTTTTAGAATCGGTTTGCCATTGAGCCTTATGTGGACAAAACAGGTGAGAAGTTTCCGGATAAACTAGTAAGCTTTTTCATTTATCAAGAATAACGTTGTTAGTATACGTTTCTATCGCAATTTAGATGCATGACTCCACTGATCTTCTTGGGGTTTTGGGCACCGATTATGGTGATTATGCTCGTAATATATTACTTATTCTATATACCAAAGAAGAATTACGAACATCCATTTTACCACCAGGTAGAACACATTTGTCAAGAAAACCGCTCGATAAAGTACGGTTTAAGAAGTTTACAGGTAGTTGAATATTATTTTTTTTTTTTGATGATTACTTCATTTTTATACAGATGCCATGCGATACAAGTTCAAATTAAGTTCGGTTAATTTTGGTCAATTTTATCGAACATTATTACGAAGAAAACTAACAGATTTTTTAATTGAAGAACGTCGACGTGATGAGCTCAAATTAGCTCGTCAATCATTGAAATCACAAGCAAAAGATACAAGTCAATCAGATATTGATGAAATATTCAATTAGATTGAAAAAAAAACTTTTTGTAATTTTAATTGTATATTTTGGTTTGAAATATTGCTTTTGCACGTTTAGCATGATGTCAAAATAAAATTATAGTAAACTATTGAAAAAATAGTCGAAACCTAACAAGAAATCGATATTTATTTTTTTCTACGGCAGCATCATGAAAAAGTAGTAAAAGAATATCAATCGATTACGATCGTAAACAATGATCGTAAGATGTCGTAATTTAGTCGTATACGACACGACAACATACGGTCGTAATTCTGACGTCAAGTAATACGACTAAATACGATGGTATACGATCGTAATTGGCACTGTATACGACGGTAAACTGCCGTATACGACGTCGTAAACGACCGTTTACGTTCGCTGTAATGCTCGTCCTGGGTTAATATTTCTAACGAATTGTGTTTTACTTTATCTTAAACAATTTGTATTTGTTAGTTTTTATCTCAACTGTTGCAGTCTAAATAACGGCATTTCCTCTTTTTGTTGCAACTTTAGTGTTTTTGAAATAATCGTCGGTAGTGTAAGTGTTTGAAAAATGAATGTCTCACTGACATCTAGAACTCATATTGATACACACGTTGAAATCAACATAACTCTCAGTTAAAATCAAGGCTGCCGAGATTATGACTGTGATTTTAACTTATTTGTAGGTATAAGACTGCTCTGAACCCATATTCACACATCCTAAAAACGTGTACAGAAGAAAAAATTATTTTTCAACGATTTGACGAGATATTTATTATAATCATTAATATAAACTATAGATCTATTTACTTTTATTTACAATAGTATGATTCTATTATTATATTCTGTAACAATTGGCGTTATCTAAAGTTTTGATTACTAATATATTCGTACTAAATAAAACACCATTGTTAATTCTCGGTTTGTATGAACGGTTTGCCTTTACTTGTCCATCTTTACTAACATGGAAAAGACGTGAACTCCCGTAATCGACTACAAGCCATCCGTTATATTTGAGTCAGGGCTGCCATATGTATCCCCTTGTGGGGTACAGTACCCCATTTGCGCATTTTGTACCCCAGGGGTACATATTTGTACCCCATTTAAATCTTTGAGTGCAAGAAGTGATAAAGTAACCTTCTTATGAAAATAAGCTGTTTTTTCGCTAGTTTAACACGTTTAAATTCTCAAATGAAATGTAATGAATTTTTTACATTTGCACAAAATCAACCAGAATTAATGAAAGCTGCTAGAAGTGCTGAAAAATATAGCTATAGGAAAAGACGGTGTTCTATTTGATTAAATAGTAAATATCTATAAATGTAAAATTTTGTATTTTTCATTAATTAACTTTTTTCTGGTCTTTAACTTTCATTTAAATTTAAATATAAACATTGTTTTTATAAAATGAACAATAAACTTGATCTTATTGTAGAAATAGTGAAATACTATGTTGTTTTCTATAAAAGAATTTTTATATCAATAATTTTCTTGAGTAAATCGTTTGTTTCAGAAGAAAAATGATGTACCCCATTGATGTACCCCATTCTGAAAAGAAATGTACCCCATTCAAACTTTCAGAAACCCCATTTTAAAAATAAAATATGGCAGCCCTTCTACAATGTGAACAGTTGACGTTCAGATGGTGGAGGAGGAAATGTGAATTCAAACTCTTTTAATTCAGACTAGTACATCACTTATGGAAGCCCAATGTTTCATGGATGGGCGAGTCCGAGTCGCATTTTTTGAATGGCTTGGACTCGACTCGGACTCAAGAATTTAGAAGCGATGACTCTCCTGTTTGACTCGAGTCAGTCGAGTCATTTATTCGAAAGAGTTACTTTTTCATTAAAAAAGAATTTCATTTTATAAAATTAAGCACGCATGTGTTCACAACTTTCGTTCTAATCGAATATATTTCATTAGAAAGAATTTCCAAGAGGTTTTTTTCTATATCTATGTATTTATATGCTCAGAAAAAGATCGTCTTAAGAGAGTATTGAATGCAATTTTTTTCTCCTTGTTTTGTTTTGGATTGTTTTGAAGGATGCACGTGTTTATCAATGAAAATAAAAAATGCTTATTTTCAACGTTACAATTTGATTTAAACAAAAAAGCAAAAGTTGATAACTTAACTCCGAATTCAGCTTCAGAAGAGATTGATTACTTTCTCCAAGAAGAAAAGTTAACTAGCGATCTCATTTTCAAAAGAGAAAATTCATATACCTGCCTTAAAAAGCTTGCTAGAAAAATTATGTGTGTGCCTGCTACATCTGCACCAATTGAACGTGTCTTTTCTCGAAGTAGTTTTCTAATGAGAGACCGAATCGTTCGCGTTTTACAGAAAATAATATCTGTATTTTAATATCTTTGAGATGCAATAAGACATTAATTTGAGTGTAAATAAATCCTTTTTTTGTAAGATTTAAATTAAGTTATTGTTTTAAAAAATCCTTTTTTTTCGTAATATGGAACTATATAAAAAAAAGAGCTGATTTTAATATTATATTTTTTTGTTCAATCTGAAATAGTTGTTTATAGATATTGTGGAATGACAAATTGTTGTTTAAAGTCTTTTATATTTAATAAAATGGAAAAAAGCCTGCTAAAAATAATTTGACTCGACTCGAGAAAATACTTGACTTGCCCATCCCTGCAATGTTTAGAGGAGAAAAGTATTCGTATTATTTATAAATGTTCATTGAATCAAGATATTAGGTTCAGTATAGAGATACTGACGATGATATTCAAATGAGTGAATTTGCTTTACAAAAGAACGTTCCTTTGGGATTTGCTGACCTAGGTTTACTTGCTACAGTGGAACTACAAATAATACATGTTTATGATAAATCTCGTGTAGTCGTTCTTTCAATTGATAGTGAGAAAATTCGTGATAGTAATAAAATCATGCTTATGAGAGTATTTAAATATACAACATACTATTTACTCTCAGTGTGGCATTGTTTATAACAAGTAGCTTTGATTCGTATTCCGTATCGTTTTAAACAGCTATTTCGAGAATTTATTCTAGTGAAACACATCGGCTGTTCAAACAACACAATTTTATCATCCAATAATTCATGTGCAGTTATATATATATATTTGAATTAACATTCGAAATTTTTATTTGATCATTTAGTTTAATCAATCCATTGATCCACGACCTGGATATATCCGTGTCATTATTATTGAATGGTCAATAAAATCCTCAATTCCCATAGCACGCATTGTTTCACTAGATACTCAACGTAGTTAACTTAGTGCTCGACGTTGTAAAGGTTTATATGATTATAGTCAACAAACTGATTGATTAAAATTATCTGTACAATAGTAGTGATTTCGGATCAGAAAAATTCAAATGACTTTTTTTTTCTTTTTCTGGTGATTATAAAAAGCCATGTTGTTGTTCCTTCATGTGAATGAAACATTGAGTCTGTTAACTTCATACATCAGTGCACATCAACAGTCGAGTTTTTTGTTACGTGAATGTTTTTTATTCAACATTACCAATTTATTTTCATTTATAAACGAAATTGTTGCTCTGGAAAGTCGATTTTGCGATCAACCTGCACATTTTCTTCATCGCAACATGTATAAGATCCGTAGAGAACATTTACCTCAAGGTAGGTTTGTATTAAGCAATCTTTCGAGTTCATTCATAAAAGACGTCAAAAGAGCATTTACAGAAACCGAATAAAATGTTACTCATTTGAACTAAGGATAGTAAACTAATGAAATTGCGAATGCTCATTCTACCCTTTCTATATTAAAAAAAATTTAATTGACATTGTGAATTAATATATCACTCCGATTTTGTCTTTCAGCATGTAATTATCAGTGAAAAATAATGATGCACGAATTAAATAATCGAACTGTTAAGTATGCCAAACCGTTAAAGACATATCGAACATCGTTCTAGACTACTAGACGTTGGTGTTTATTTGCATCGTATTTCAATGATGAACCATTGGATATCATAAATTGGTAGCTGCTAAAAATCATATGATATTTACTTCGATATTTTCAGTGCTTAGAGAGTCATAACAAAGGTAAATTGCTTCAGTTAATGATATCTCTCTAGTAGTATGATATGCATAATTGAAATGCTCTGTATACTGTCTATCTATTTTTGTTGAAGTGTACAATACTAAAATCCTTCCATGAATCATCATTTTGTTCAATTATGAACCGCTCCACACCTCTAACACTGAGAAATATGTAACGATAATCGTTTGAATAAAAATTAATAATTTTTCTTCAGTATTATTTATAAGAGGAAATCCTTCTTAATTACTAAGCCAATTCGATTCTTTTACCGATTGTCCATAGATCACATGCGTTTTTTTATCTAGTGAACAATTCATTCATTCTTACTCGATTTTCTCGAAGATTTTTCTCGATAAACTATGATTACCCTGTTCAATAATTAATAGCTAGAATAAATATTTCTTCATGTTCACATGTAAAAACAAAGTGAACGAAAAGTCACTTTTAATCACTTTTAATAGTAATAAAGTAATTTTTCTTACTATATTTCACTTTTTATAGTACTTTTTGATAATTTTTCCACTTTCTATAGTACTTTATCACACTTTTTCTTGCTTTCAAAAGTACTTGTCAGTACTTTTTAGTCCAAAAGAATGAAACGTACTATTGAAAGTACTTGATAGTCAATTTTTTGGATAAGATTTTTTTACATGGGTTATGCAACTGATTTTTCTATGAATAGTGTTCTTTTTGCACTTTGAATCATAGTTTTTTCATGCTTTGTTTTTAGTTGGAAACGTGATTCGTTTAAAAATATAACTGTAAAATTTAGATTCAAGTAACTGTTTTTCAATCGAGTTCAGTTAGAGCGAAACAATATACTCAATATTACAATACGTAATTCAATTCAGTGCGGAACTTAGAACACTACCAATCTCATATACAGTAAATTACATCGACTACTATTGGTTATTATTGTCAAATATATTTATTGAAAGCAATACTCTAAGCTTAACTTGTAGCTTATTCTGTCGTATTTTTAAGACATAATGATAAAACGAAAAGCATTTCATCAATTCCTACTGTAAATACAGTTTCTACTGCAAGAAAACAATGAATATATTTCAATAAGATTTAATAAAATTATCGACTCATTATGTTTCAGTGATTTTTCAATTTAATTAATCATTTAAAGGAGTTTTATTTTAAAAGAACGAGCCAGTGATTACATGCAATAACAAGTTCATACGTATTCTCAACTAGAGTAGTATCTTTTGGATAATATTGTGGAAGATAAAATTAATGTACATTGTCTAGATTTAGTAAAATAATTTGAAGAAGATTTACCAAAAAAAACCCTAAAGAGAAAACAAAAATAGCTAAATTTAATGATAGTATTGAAAATCAACTAATTGATTCAAATCCAGATCATGAGAATAAGAGACTAATGTCATACAGTTTTGTCTCTTCTATGTTAAATGACACTGAATAATCAAAAATTTACGAATAAAAGAAAATTTTCCTAGTGAATCAACAAACTTATTCAAGAATCTACTCGTTCATCTATACCCTGTTTCGGACGACTTGCCTTCCGACACTGAGATATCATAATGGGAAGAAAACAGTAAATGAATAAAAAATAGAAAATATCATTTTTCACAATGAAAAAAAAATGAGTCATTTCAAAAATAAACTTGCTAATTTGAAATACTTTTCATGAACTCATAAATATATTCAATACAGACGAAAAAAGTTTAATCGAAACTATATCGACTGTCATGTGACTTTTTGTTTCTTGATCAATTGCGATTGTGACTGTTTCATTCTGCACAGATGCAGATGAAACACAAACGATCAATATGTTTCGATAAAACATAATTAATTTAACTCGACGATGACTACTAATTGTAGTACTATCGCAACGTTGATCAATCATCGAATATTCAATTGATAGCTAATATCAATTGAATATGTCGATTCACCCAAAAAGTGACTATAAAATAGTCACAATTTTCAACGGTAAAATAGCATTCCCCTTTCTTCTTCTTCTTCTTCTTCTTCCCTTATAATATTATAATATGTATGTTTTATTTTTTAACTATTTTAGCTTGCAATTGTCGATACAATTATCAACATCACAGGTAAGTATAGTTTCATCTTTTTTGCGTTGCCTCACCCTTTTACCCCAATTGTTTAATATTTTAATTTTATATAATAATAATAATAATTTTTTCGTTTCAACTGCTAATCCTTTTTTTCTCCAATTTAGTTGTA